GTGGGGTGCGTTGGGGTGCAGTGGGGTATGCTGGGGTACAGTGGGGTGCAGTGGGGTATGCTGGGGTACAGTGAGGGATGCAGTGGGGTGCGTTGGGGTGCAGTGGGGTATGCTGGGGTACAGTGGGGTGCAGTGGGGTATGCTGGGGTACAGTGAGGGGTGCAGTGGGGTATGCTGGGGTACAGTGAGGGGTGCAGTGGGGTGTTCTGGGGTGCAATGGGGTGCGCTGGGGTACAGTGAGGGGTGCAGTAGGGTGTGCTGGGGTGCTGCAGGGTATGCTGACCACTGGCTCTGGGTTTGGACCCCGCTGGTTGGTGGGAGGCCTGTCCTGCTGCCCTGGCCCCAGGAGTCCAGGGTGGCCGGGTGACCACGCTGCACCAGGACCTGAGAGTGGGAGAGGGGCCCCACACCACCCCCACCTCCTCCTGGGCCCTTCCTGAGCCCTGTGACCAGTGGAAGCCACTGGGGCCCAGCCTGGGGCAGGTCAGGGAGGTGCTGGGGCTCTGCCCCCCAGCAGGGCAGGTCCAGACGGCTGCTGCCGATGTGTTGTGTCTGTATCACTTACTTTGCCTAGAACAGGCTTTAGGGAATGATGAATATTTTAGACACTTTTTGGAGATGTTGGACAGCCAGCCGCAGGCAGTGCAGCGCCATTAGACTTTGTAGGTGAGAGTGGTGTTAACTTCTGCATTGACGGGAGCCGGAGCCTGGTCGGGGGGGAGGACGTCCACAGCCCTCAGCCTCAGTGTCGGAGCCGGAGGACAATGACAGGGAGGTGGGTGGGGCAGGACGACCGTGTCTGCTCCATCCGTCATGCTCCGGCTGTCCTGCCTGCTGTCAACACTGGAGTTGTCATTCTGGTGGAATATTAGGCCATCGTGTGGCCAGCATGCTGGGCACAGCCGGCCGCAGCAGGCCCGTGTCCAAGGCAGGGGCAGCAGGCCCCAGGCCCCACGTGACCCTGGCAACCAGATGGCCCTTCCCCATCCACTTCGCCTGTTTGACATGCACCTCCAACTCCTGCTGGGTCCACTGTGGTCTGTTCCTAGGACACTGGGAGCCTGGGCAGGGGCTTGGAGTGTCTGGGGGTAGGCCAGGGCTGCAGGCCAGCCCAAGGGAAAGGGAGCAGCCTCCACTGGAGGGGCCCACTGCCGGCCTGCGGGCAGATGCAGGGAAGGCTGTTTCCTGCGGGCCCATCTGCCCTCACCGTCCTGCAGGCTGCAGCAAGCCTCAGGGCACAGCCACCAGAGAGAGCAACTGACCATCGGCTTCTGGAACATTCTATGTAGATGATATGGTGTATTTTGAGCCCTGTGCCATGGGCCACACAGGGCACACAGGGTGGTTGCCTGTGACACTTGGGCCTGAGAAGATGGCAGTCAATGGGCTGAGTGGCTTTGGAAGGGCCGGCGGGCAGGTCTGCTGGGGGCACGTGGGTACACTGGATACTGGGGCACCCTCCCGGTCTGAGTGGAGGTGTTGACCGTGCAGCCACCATCTGTCTGCCTGTCTGCTCGGTGCCTGCAGTGTGGGAGAAGTAGTCAGGCTCAGGGCTTTGGGCCTATATCCCAGCTCAAGCCCCCCTGGCCCAAAACCCCACACACCTGTCCTGCTCCCTAGGGTCCAGGTGGAGTTCTACGTCAACGAGAATACCTTCAAGGAGCGGCTCAAGCTGTTCTTCATCAAAAACCAAAGATCCAGTGAGTGGGGCCTGTGGAGAGGGTGGGGGAGCCAGGAGCGAGCTTCCTGGGACGGGCCAAGTGCATGCCCGGAGAAGGCTGGTGTGGGGAAGGGCCTGGGCAGAGAAGGGGGCTGTGTCGGAGAGTGGTGGGCGCAGGGGGCAGTGGGGAGTGCCCCTCATCTCAGCTTCACGCCACCTTCCACCCAGCAGGAGAGGGGACCCGGAACCCTTGGGGACCCTGACCCCTGCTGGACTCTGGGCTGGGCTGTGGCCCTCCGGGGCACCAGCTCCCCTCCTCCCTGTGGCCCCAGGCCTCCCGCCCTCACCCTGAGGGGCTCCCTGGCCCCCTCCCTGCAGGCTCCCCCCACCAGCCTTCCCAGCAGGAGCTTGACCACCTCAGACCCCTCCTGGGATGCAGGACGGGGCGGGGAGGTTGTGTCCGTGGGTCCCAGCTCATCCACGTGCTCCCCCCACCCCCACCTGTCCTGCCCCAAGGAGCAAGTGGCACAGGGAGCCCTCTGCACCCACGTCTGTAAGGCCTGACACGGATGGAGCCTCTCAGAGGCTGGCCCAGTAGCGGCCACGCTGGCTTCTCGGGGGCAGCCCAGCCCCGGGTGTCCGAGGTGTGGAGGGAGGAGCTGTTGGCAGGGGACCGTAGTGGGACCCCAGGTGGCCCAGGAGTCCTGACGTCCCCCTCCTGCAGGCCTGAGGATCCGGCTGTTCAACTTCTCCCTGAAGCTGCTCACCTGCCTGCTGTACATCGTCCGTGTCCTGCTGGACGACCCAGCCCTGGGGATCGGATGGTGGGTGACCCGTGGGGCTGGGGGTCACAGGGCCCTGCCGCCATCAGAGAGGCCAGTGGGGTCAGTGTGGGGTCTGTGCCCAGCACCCAGCCTGTCCCCTGGGGTGCCCGTTGCTCAGGGCCCTAGAGAGTCCTTCCTTCCTTAATGTGACCCCTGTCCCAGTGTCTTTGCCCCAGAGAGCTGTGCCCAGGACACTGCCCTCAGGGTCCTGCTGATCTGCTGGCTCAGCCCAGGCAGAACGGTGGACGGTGGCTGCATTTGCAGCTGCTCCTGGACCCGGAAAGATCTCTCCTTGAGAGTCTAGGATGCCCCCAATAGTGGTGCAGGGGAGGGGCTCAGGGAGGGGCTCTGGGCTCCCTTCAGGTCCTGCAGGGTGGGGACACCCTGCCCCCAGTGCAGGCAGGAGGGAGCCTTTTGTCGGGGCTCCACTTGGTTTCACCTGCTCCTCCTGGGCCTCCAGTGTCTTCTGCCTCGGTCACTCCTTCATCTGCACGGAGCACGTGCTGCTGAGACTTCCAGGGAAAGGCCGTGGGAATAAGCTGCCTGCCACCTTCAGGGCTGAGGTCTGGGGTGGGCCTACGGCTGAAGGAGAGTGGGGCTTCAGTCTTTCCCTTGCTGTGTCGTCTTCCTGCTGCTCTGGCTGCTGTTGAGACGTCCGAGCCCTTCCCCTCTCATGATCCTTGTGGGAAGCACGGTTTTCTTCCCTGGAAGCTGGTGGAAGTTTCTCTCTGTGCCCATGTCTGACAAGCCTCCGTGACACCGTGGCATGGTTCCCTTCTCCTTGCCGCGCTGGTCCCAGGGGACACGGAGCTGGGTCCACTCAGGGCTGGGCTTGTCTGAGTTAAGTCTTTGGGGATACCTCCCCCATCTCCTCCAAGTGGTCTCTCTGGACTTCCTGATATTCTGATGTGGGATTCTGGAATGATCCTGTACGTTTTTTATCCTCTCTCTCCTGTTCTCCATCTTGCTCTTTCTGGGGAATTTCCTTAGCTTTATCTTCAGCTCTTTAGTTGAGTTTTTCATTTCTGCTATCATGTTTTCTAATTTCTGAGAATTAGGATTGGGAAGGCAAATGGATGGATGAAAGGGCTGGCGGATGGATGGGTAGAATGGATGAATGGATGGGTGAGTGGGTAGGTAGATGGTTGAATTATGGATAGCTGGATGGATGGGTGGATGGATGGATGGATGGATGGATGAGTGGGTGGATGGTAGATAAATGGATGGATGGTGGATGGATAGATGGATGGATAAATGGATGGATGGATGATATATAAGTGGATGGATGGATGGTGGATGGATAGATGGATGGTGGATGGATGGATGGTATACAAATGGATAGAAGGATGGATGGATGGATGGACAGATGGTGGATGGGTAGGAGTACGGCCAGCCACTTCCGTGGGTGTTGAGTTTGCAACAACAGCCCCAATAAGGCTCAGAGGGAAGTGGGTCACTTGAGAGAAAAGGGGGAGGAAGCTGCTCGTCACCATGAGGATCTGGGAGAGTGAGGTCCCTTTGGTCAGTGACCCTGGCATTGGTTACAATCTGAGGCAGACCTAGCATGTCTGCCATGCCCCTGCCGCCTTCCCAGCAGCTGGGTGTCCAGGTGACTTGAGGAGGCTTGTCATCAGGAGTGACTTAGGGACATGAGTCTTGGAGCCAGCACCTCGGGATGAGAGCTCGATTTTCTCTCTCTGTCTCACGGGCATTGTCCAGCCTTGTTTGTGGCAGCTGTGGCCTCCAAGAGGCCTTGAGTGCTCCACAGTCCATCACTGGCCATGCACGGCCCTTCCCCAGCAGCCTGCGGTCAGACCAGGCGGCATCCCCAGCTCTCTCCTGGGCTCCACCTCTCACATCCCGGAGTGGGTGTGTCCTCGTCCAGCCTGCCTGCCCCTTCTCCATTAGAGATTCTCCCTGGGGGTCTGCAGGGCGGGGGCAGGCTGCCTCTTCGCCCAAGTGTTGGAGAACAGATGCTGTCCAAGATGTGGGGGGTTGGCCCTGGGTGGGTGCCCCCCACGCTCCCTGAGCACATGGCAACCCTGGGAAGGGTCCCTTCAGGGGCAGCGAGGGGAGGGGCCACAGCCAGGCCAGCTCTGTCTCTCCGCAGCTGGGGCTGCCCGAAGCAGAATTACACCTTCAATGAGTCATCCTCCGAGATCAATTGGTGAGTTCACCACCCAGCTTGAGGACCTTTCCCTGGCCTGACTCCCACTTGGAGGCCCAGGGCAGGGGTTGGATGGTGTTGATCCCCTCCAGTTGGCCCCCGGGGCCCTGGCCAAGTGGTGGGCAGCGCTGGGGATGTCCCTCCAGAGTGCCCTGAGGCTTTCAGGAGCAATTTGAGAATTACAAGTGTCACTAAAAGCTGGCCAGACCCACCCACCATGTCTTCCCATCTGGTGGCGGGCAGCCCCTGGTGGGGGGTGGGGTACTCAGTCGCTCCTTCCGCAGTTCTTGATGCTCTGAGCCCCGGTCAAGCAATGGGAAGTGACCCAGAGTGACAGAGGATGCCTGGTCCAGAGGTTGGGATGTGTCCCCAGGGGCTTGGCCACCTCCTGCCTCACATGCCTTGTCCCCAACACCCAGAGCCCCGTTTTCTCTGATGAGGGGGGACAGCCCCCTCTCAGCCCTCGTCCTGCACCCACACCCCCTCGGCACTTCCCGCCCAGCCCTGTGAGCCAGCCACCCTTCTGTTCTACAACCACCGGGCTTGTCCGGAGGCTGTCTCTCGCGTCCCCCGTCCTGTTTCACCTCACAGTAGCCCTGCCTGTTGATGGGTGAGGAACGAGATCACGAACACCGAGAGGGACGCCAGTCAGCACCTCCCCTGCAACTACGTGCATAGGAGCCCCGTCCCCAGGAGCCCGGGCGAGAAGGGGAGGCCAGCTGGGGCTCAGGCTGCCCTTGTCCAAGCATGTGCAGGGTGAAGGGGCCTCTGAGCCTTCGGCGCTGCCCCACAGCAGGCACCTCCCAGGGCGGCCCTGCCAGCCTCCTTTCCTGGGGGCTTCCCCTTCCCTCCACATTCTCGTCCCCTCTGAGGGTGAGGTGGTGCCCTCGGTCCAACCGAGGAGCGGCTTGGGGTCAGCGGAGGCCCGGGTGGCTGGGGGACGCCCGCCTGAGGCTCACCTCCCTCTCTCCCAGGGCACCCATCCTGTGGGTGGAGAGGAAGATGGCTCTGTGGGTGATTCAGGTGAGTGGGGGGGGCGGGCGCGGCTCTGGGCTCTGGGTGGGCCCTGCCTCCCCTGGCCCCACTCAAAGGCTCCTTCCCTGCCCACTCCCAGGTCATCGTGGCCATAATAAGCTTCTTGGAGACGATGCTGCTCATTTACCTCAGCTACAAAGTGAGTGCCCCCCTCCGCCCCGGCCCTCCCCTAGCCCCCGCCCCGTCCCCTGACCCCCTGGTTGGTCTTTCTCCCCCGCCCCTCCCCTACCCCCAGGGCAACATCTGGGAGCAGATCTTCCGAGTCTCCTTCGTCCTGGAGATGATCAACACACTGCCCTTCATCATCACGGTGGGTGAGCTGCCAGCTGAGCAGCGGGCCGCCTGAGCCCGCAGCCCCTGACCCATCTCCTCCGCAGATATTCTGGGCGCCACTGCGGAACCTGTTCATCCCCGTCTTCCTGAACTGCTGGCTGGCCAAGCACGCGCTGGAGAACATGATCGTAAGCCGCGCCGCGTGGTGACCCCCGGCCCTCCCACCTCGCCTCTGCACAGCCCCCCAGGACCCCCCGGGGCGGCGGCTTGCCACACCCTGGCCCTGGCCTGGCGGAGAGCTGGCCGGCTTCCCTCGGTGCCCCAGGAGGCTGGGTGACAAGTGGAAACACGTAATCTGTCACTGTGAATGCCCAACTCCAGCCTTCACATGCCCTGACGCAGGACAGGATCCACCCAGAGCTTTCCTGACCCTGGAGATGAGTTGCGGGGAGGGGGGGTGAGGTGCAAGGTGAGAGCAAACAGGAGCACAGAAACCAGGGCCACACGCACACCAGGGCAGCGGGCAGACCCTCTGCTGAGCATCTGGGCGAGGTCCCTGTCACAGAAACGTCTGCAGGCAGCTGACTGTCCCCTCCGAGCCCAGGCCCCCCGCTCACCCCCCATCCTACTTGTAGAGTGAGGGTATGGCGCTGAGGTCGCAGCCTCTGACCTCTGCCCAGGGCCTTTCAGCTCTGGGCCCTTGGCCCTCGCCCCCCGTGGCAGAAGCAGGACGGGGTCTCCCAAGAGCGAGAGAGGAGATCGGGGTGACCGGCCGCGGGGCCCTGTGGCCTCCCCAGGACGGAGCCGCAGCCAGACCCCTCACCTCTCCATTCGCTCTCATGTGTATTTGGGACACGTGGCCACGGAGTGGCCCCAGGCTCCGTGGCAGGTCCCGGGCTCTGCCGCTGACGGCGCTGCCTCCTGCAGAATGACTTCCACCGCGCCATCCTGCGGACGCAGTCGGCCATGTTCAACCAGGTGCTCATCCTCTTCTGCACCCTGCTCTGCCTGGTCTTCACGGGGTGAGTGCCACCGCCCCCTGTGATGCCCCCGCGCGTCCGGAGCTCCCCCGTGGCGGGCAGTGCTCTTCTTGGGCAGAGCCAGGCCCTCATGTCCAAGAGGTCAGGAAGGCCATGGCCCCGGGGTGGCGGGTGGTGGCCCGGCCAGGACCGAGAACAGGGAGGCAGCTGGGAGCCCATGTTCCCAGGCAGCAGCAGGCCCGAGTCCAGGTCCTCTGGGGCCCGGGGAGACCCAGGTCTGGCTTCCTGGTTGGTGCCTCGGGAGGCAGGTCCCAGGTGGGGGACTGGCCCCTGACTGGGTGGGGACCCTTTGGCTTGGGGATCAGCTGAGAGCGAGGTCTGGGAGCAGCCAGGGGGAAAGGTGGGGGCTCCTGGAGCCAAGAGCCCCCATGCTTCTGTATCCGCCTGCGTTCCCACAGAGGCTCTGGCTAGCGTGGTCTTGGTGAGACTGGTTACCACCACCTGTCCCCCCAGGCAGGGATGCAGGGCAGGCATCCAGGCCGGGGAGGTAGGGAGGTCCACGTACTTCCTGCCTCCCCTACCCTACTTCCCCAACACACAGACCTGAGCGGCGCGGATGGGGCATGCACAGGGTAGAAACCTCCAGGGTGATTCACCGGCTCCACCCCCCGCAGCCAGTGCATCCACCTGTCCACCCCGGGAGGGTCCCTGAGCACCGTGTGCTGCCCCCTGCTGTGTGCTGTGGGCCCCTGGAGCCTGCCATCAGCACCTCCCAGCCTGGGGATGGGAACACAGGTTCACTGGTGGGAAACAGGACTGCCCAGCTCTGCACCGGGCGGGGAGCTGAGTGGGCCCCACGCCCTGTCTGATCTCCTGGGTGAGGATGAGGCCTTGAGAGGTGGGGTGGCATGCAGGGGCTCACAGCCCGGGGGCCGCACCTGCTCCCACTGACCCCCAGGCCCACACTCAACCCTCGCAGCCCTGCATCCTTGCTCCCAGCGAATTTTCCAGGGGCCTCGAAAGGCCAGGGAGCAGGAGGGGAAGGCGGGGGGGATCCGAGTGCCGGCTCTGGCAGGCTGCAGGCAGAGGCGCTGGGAGCCCCAGTCGGCCAAGCTGCCCGCACACCCTCTCCTGGCCGGGACTCAGGCCCAGGTTGAAGGGTCCCCTGTCAGTGATGGGGGCCCCCAGGCTCGGCCTGTGTCTCCGGGGGACCCGGCCACGCATTGCTCAGTCTCCGGATGACCAGGTCCCCTGGTCAGGCAGAGCTTCACCGAAGGAGCTGGGAGGTGGCCGAGGCCCTGCCCACAGCCCCTGCTGCCCGGTTTCAGGACCTGCGGCATCCAGCACCTGGAGCGGGCCGGCGAGAACCTGTCCCTCCTGACCTCCTTCTACTTCTGCATCGTCACCTTCTCCACCGTGGGCTACGGCGACGTGACGCCCAAGATCTGGCCGTCCCAGCTGCTGGTGGTCATCATGATCTGCGTGGCCCTCGTGGTGCTCCCTCTGCAGGTGAGCCCCGGCCCCAGCCCAGCAGGGAGGCGGGAGAGGGAGGGGGTGACACCACTTCCTGGCGGGCCCTGCCAGGGGCCTGTTGGGGGTCTGTGACTAGTGAGGCCTGCAGCCGTCAGGGCGGTGAGCGAGGGACGGCGTTCTCACAATGAGGGGACAGCGGGTGTCTGGGTGCCACGTGCCAGCTCCATTTCTGGTCCTGGTCAGGGCACAGAGTGTGAGCAGAGGGGCTGTTGGGGTGGACGGCGCGCCGTTTCCCACCATGCAGGGGTGGGGCTGGCCGTCAGGAGCCCTCAGCTGGTGCAGTAGCAGCTGTCAGGACCACGCGGGGCACACAGACTGCTGTCTGCTGCTTCCCTGTCCCCTGTCACCAAGGCCACTCTGCCGGTTGAGCCGAGGTGGGGGTGGTGTGGGACCCCAGCCCAGCCCAGCCCCGTCCCCACCTGTGTTTACATATGAAAGGCGGAGGCCTGGAGAGGAGACCGGCTGGCTTCAGGCGCCCCCCTAACCCCGTCCTGGGCTGGGCCCTCTCAGGAAGGGGGCGGGGTCAGGGGGCCTCCCTTAGGGACCGAGGCGGCAGCTGTCAGCTTCCCCAGGAGCTGGGGCAGGAGGGCACCCCGAACACCTCAGTCAGCAGGGAAAAGCCCGGGTAGCGGACTGGTGGGGGGAGGTTGGAGGGAACCAGACGCCAAGGTGGACATTCATGATGGGGAGGGTGCCTAACTGCCACCATGATGGGGCCAGTCCACCCAGTGGGGCCTCTGCTGACCCTGAGCTCACCCCCTGGCCCTCAGCCCCCACCCCCCCTTGCAGCTCGGAGCCCCCAGCCCCAGCTGGCACTCCGTCCTCCCTGCTCTCCCCTTGTCCAGAACTCAGCTCCCCCGCCAAGTCCTGCTGTGTCCCCCGGACCCCTATGGGGCTGAGAACCCTACCAGCAGCCTTGCCTCCACCACCGTGCTCACCAGAACTTTCTGTCCTGGACCTGGGTTGGCAGTGGCCTCCTCCTCAGCCTCCGTCTGAAGCCGGGTCCTCCCTATGCTCCCTCCTCCCCATGGCCACCTCTCCCCTCACACTCCCTGGCAGAGCCCCCTCAGGCCACAGAGCCCTGGCCGCCTTCTGAATCTCAGTTCAAATTATGTTTTTATACAATTGTGTTTTCTAAATTACATTTTTAATATTTTTTAGATTTTTAAGTTTTTAAATTTATATTATGAAAATTATGTTTTGTATTATATTTTGTTGTATTTTAATTATATAATTATAAATTATGAACATACTTGTTTTTAATTATAATTAAATTATCTATTTTTATTTTTTGTTTGAAATTATATTTTCACACTACCATTCTGAATGCTTTCAAGCATGCAAAGAAGGTCTGTCCCACTCAGGAAATACATTGGGAGAGAGATCGGTCAGTCCTGCGGGCTGCTCCCCTTCCCTAAGGGAGGGGTCTGGGGGCTGTTGCCCTGTGCGTGTGTCTCAGGGACGCACAGATGGGTCGTGTGTGGTTTCAACTTAAATGGTGCAAGGCAACCAGGTTTCCTGCCTGAGGGCATTTTGGACTCTCCCCCCTCCCCTCCCCCACCCCCCCATCCCTCATTGAGGCTGTGCCCGTGTTCCGCTGCTGTGGACCTTCCAGCCAGGCTGGGCCGGGCACTCAGGCCTGACACAGGCAGGAGGGATGCCCCGAGGAGAGGGAGGCCTGCAGGGCCTGGCATCAGGCCAGCACGTGAGTCCCCTTGGAGGCCAGAGTGGAGGATGGGCACCAAGGATGCAGCTGGCTAACTGTTGGGGCAGCTTCCTGCCTCCCTCGTTAACTTGGAAAGGCTGGGTATCTCGCCTGGGATAGTAAGGGACAGTCCCCATAACCTTCCTGTGTTCTTCCACTCAACCACACTCCCACATTAGCCCTTAGAGAAGAGACAATGAAGTGCCTGCTGTAACGTCCCCCCAGAGGTAGTCGTGACGACAGCTGACAGCATTCTCCCGGCTCAGGGCTGAATGTCCTCACTCATCAGTGGCAGCTTCCAGGGGCCACCACAACAAAGCACCACAAACCAGGGGCTTAAAGCAGGAGGCGTTTACTCCTTCACAGTCTGGAGGCCAGAGTCTGAATCCAGGTGTAGGCAGAGCCGGCTCCTTCTGGAGGCTCTGAGGGAGCATCTGCCCCCTGCCTCCCTCCAGCTCCTGGTGGTGCCAGCCGTCCTGGGCGTCCCTGACTTGTGCCTGCATCTCTCCAAACTCCGCCTCCGCTGTCACGCGGCTTCTTCCTCTGTCTGTCTCTGTGTCCTCTCCTCTGCTTGTAAGGACACAGCCATTGGATTTAGGGCCCACCCCAAATCGCCTCTGATCTCATCGCATCTACAAAGACCCTATTTCCAAATAAGGTCACATTCGGCAGTTCTGGGTGGACGTGAATTTTAGGGGTCCCTACTGAATCCTCTACAGGTGGATCATCTAACCCTCACCACAGCCCCAGGGGAAAGGCACCGTCATGCCATTTTGCCGGTGAGGGAACTTAGGCTCAGAGCTGCATACCGGTGACAGGTGAGGCTTGAGCCCAGGGTGTCAGCCATCAGAGCCCCACCCTGCACGGGCCTCAGGGATCACCCTGGGGTCTCGGGCCCCTCCCAGCTATGGAGCCAGTCCTGTGCTTCAGGCCATGGGGTCTTGTTACCAGAACCCAATAGGTGCTCGATAAATTCATTTCAGCGAGACACTAGCACATCACACGGCACAGGTGGGCACCATAGAGGGTAGCTGCTGTGGTTTATTTTAAACTGTGTTAAATAACGAATGACCTCATGCTTGAGATAGAAACAGCCGGGGACTCTCACAGGGTCAGGCTCCCGCCTGCAGAGCGGAGTCAGAGACTGGCGTTGTCAGCACCCCAGACAGCTCCGCGGAGAACACACACACACACACACACACACACACACACACACCCCACCCGGGCGGCGGTCGGCTCTGTGATAACGCCCACTTTTACGTCGTTTTCCTAATTTAAAAGGACTCCCAACACCCAAAGCTCACATCCAGGAAGTGTGGGCCGGGGAGGACAGCATCCCCAGACCTGCAGCCTCGAATCACCCACACCCTTGACTGGGCTCTAACCAGGAGCACGGAAAGTGTTCCCTCCACGTGGGAGTCTGGCTTCCTCATTGTGTGGCTGAGAATATCAATACCTGATACCTTCAGGCTTCTCCAAAATGGGTCTCAGGTGCTGATGGGAGACCCAAGGGCTCATAGACACCTGGATGTCCAGAGAGCAGACCTCGGCATCCAGTAATGGTGGCCTGGCTGCTTGGGGCCTGGAGCTGGACGTGCTGCGTCTCCCGCTATCCCACACACCAGCAAGGACGTCCACTCTCTCCCCGCGTGGCCCCTCGCGTGGCCTGTGATGCGCACACCGCCTTGTTCCGAGACGTGGTCGGGATGCGGCTCCATCCTTGCCCGGCCTCCTTGGTCCTGCTCCGGCCTCTGCCCGGTCCGCCCCTCCTCCCTTCGTCCCTGCTCTGTGCTGCCTGGGGCTCCGCGTCTGCTGCTCCCACGAAGATGCCGTCACCCACAGCTCGCCCTGCCCCGGGCCACCTGGCACTCACCCGCTCTTACCTGCAGTTTGAGGAGCTCGTCTACCTGTGGATGGAGCGGCAGAAGTCGGGGGGCAACTACAGCCGCCACCGGGCCCAGACGGAGAAGCACGTGATCCTGTGCGTCAGCTCCCTCAAGATCGACCTGCTCATGGACTTCCTCAACGAGTTCTACGCCCACCCCCGGCTCCAGGTGAGGCCTCGCCTCCCCCACCCC